ACATGCCTATAATCCCAGCGCTTAGGAGACTGGGGCAGGAGGATCACTGTGAGCTCAAGGCCATCCTGAGCGAGTCACACAGCAAGATCATGTCTCTAAAAACATGAGAAAACTGCATATATTACAAATCCTGACAGGATACACATAAATTTGCTAATAGGTACTGACTGTGCAAAAGAGAATTGGGTGACAGGAAACAAAGCTGTAAGACAGGTTTTAAAAAATAACCTTTTGTATTTTTTCAGTTTTTTCCCTTATGTATATTCTACTTAACAAGGCACAGAAGTTTAATGGAGAAAGAAGTATTTCTTTTGATAAGATAAAGATATTCCAAGGGTTTTATTAGATGCTTAGGTTCTTTCTGGTTCTTGTTTTTTCATTTTTCTAACACTTTGTCAACTTATTTATTAGCTGATATTACTTTATACAGCATTTAGTCATTAAATGGATCAGACCCACATACTCTGGGTCAGATATTATGCTGGTATTTGGCGATACATCCAAACTCTGGTACTGGTACGTAGAAGTACTGAGGATATAGACCTGTAATAAGTAGCCAATTATAAAACAAAGTGATAAAACAGACAACTTTCTGATGAGCGTAAGAACAGGAAGCCATGAGATTAGTGGTGTTTAGCTGGTTTAAGGGGGACTTCCTAAAGGAAAATATATATAAATTTAGGCCTAGGAAGGAGAACAAAGGAGAAAGAAAACTGTCTATATAAAGAACAAACTGTGAATAACATGTTAAGTTAGAGTGGAGCTCAGAACGAGTGGAGCTCAGAATATACGCCATGGGACTTAACAGGAATGTACTTAGAAACAAGTGGAGAGCCGGCCAGATAGCTTGGCAGATTAAAGCACCTGCTGTGCCATGCCAACCCTGTCCCTGAGGTGCACTGAGACAGTGATATAGATTGGGCATGTTGGTGCACACCTGTAATCCCAGTGCTTGGGAGGCTGAAAACAAGAGAATCACTACGAGTCCGATCTGTAGTGAGATCCTAAGTGTAGACTGTGTGCCAAATACTAAAAAAGAAAGAAAGAAAGAAAGAAAGAAAGAAAGAAAGAAAGAAAGAAAGAAAGACAGACAGAAAGGGAGAGGTTGACAAGGTTCAGATCATGAAGGGCTTTATAAGGCAAATATAGTTTTATCTTAGTAAATAAAACTAAAAAAGATATTTATATATTTGCATTTTGGAAACCCCCTCTAGGTGAAGAGGGTAATATGATGTAGGATAGACTTCAGGGGTGCTACAACAGTTGAAGAAGCTTGAATTAGTAAACTGTAAGTGTTCAAATAGGGAAGTTAGTAGACTTCAGGGAATAAGACTATTTAGGAACAAAACCTGAAGTCTCTGAATGAATGAGAAAAATCAAGTATGATCCTAGGAAACTGGTTGGATGATGGCAATTACAGTGAATAAGGGAGGAAAGTTGTTAGAGACAGCAGCCTTAGTGTTAGATATTGTGAATTTGATGTGTCTGAGGAAAATAAGGACAGTATGTGTGGCTGGAACAATTGGTTGAGATGTGTATTGCTAATAAAGACTTTTTGTGAAATTTAGATATTCTGTAAATAAGATGAATTAGAAGACTTAATGAGGGATACCATGACTTATGGTAACATGAGTTGTGTGAATTTATTTTTTTTCTAACTTGTCCCAGAACACAGGTATAGATGTATAGAAGTCAATCAAATGGATTAAAGATTGCAAGTTTATTTATTTTGTTTGTTTGTTTCTTGTGGTACCAGGGATTGAACTCAGGACCTTGTGCTTAACAGGCAAGCGCTTATTCTACTGAGCTATCTCCTTGGCCAATCAACTGGATTAAAAAGGATTAGAATTTTGCCAGGATTGGGGCCAGGGAGATGGCTCAGTGGAGTAAGCGCTTCCCTGGCAAGTGCAAGGGCCTGAGTTCAATCCCTGGTTCCACCAAAAAAAAAAAAAAAGAATTTTGTCAGGATCATAACAGCTAAAATATAGGAAATGGTAATAAGGATAACAGCAAGATAGTGTATAAAATTGAACTGAAATTAAATAAGGTGGATGCTATGATTTAGATGTTGTACTAGCCAGTTTTTTGTCACTGTGACCAAAATACCTGATAGACAACTTCGAAGAGAAAAGGTTTATTTGGCTCACTCATTTGAGAGGCTTCAGTCCATGATCACAAGGTTCTAAAGCAGAAACATCATGGCAGAGCTGCATATTGTCAGAAAGCAGAGAACAGAGGAAGGGCCGAAGAGGAAGGGGCCGGGTACCAGCCAAGTACCAAGGTTACCCACCTGGACACACTCAGAAATATGTTTTAATAATTTCCTAGGCATCTCTCAAGACTATGACACTGACATTCAAGATCACACATTACAGATGTGGCTTATTTCCAAAGGGTTCAAGTGAAGAAAGCTTGGTCCCCAACGTGGCAATGCTAAGAGTCAGTAAAACCTTTAAGAGGTAAATCTAGTGGGAAGAATTAGGAAGCAGAGTTAACTGGTATTATTCTTGTGGGGCCATGGTTAATTCTCTTGAGAGGGTTTTCATAAGAGTGATCTTGACCTCTGAAGCACTCTTTAGCTCCTAGCCTTGCCACATGATCGCTTCTTTTACATATGCAGCAGCAATGGTGCCATTCACCATAATATGATGCAGCCTTGGGAGCCCTCAACAGAGTTGAGTCCATGCTATTTGAACTTTCACTTTCTAAAACTGAGTGAAATAAGATGCACAGCCTGAGACATTTTTATTATAGCAACAGAAAAAGGTCTAATAGAGTGGATCAGTCAGGAGACAAATGAAATCTACAAGGTAAAATAAGAGATACAAAACAATTAATTTGAGACATAGTTAGAAATGAAAACTTTATTTAGACTTCAAAAGATGCAAGATAGGCCAAGAGAGCTAGGAGACTGGAGTGGAATGGAAAAATATTTTATATCTATCACACTAAATTAAAAAGCAAACCTCCAGAATAAGCAAGAATTTCTCCTGTCCTAACTTCTATGCATCAGCATACGGGCAAGTCTATTCAGAGCAATTAGGCAGTAAAGCAAAAGAAAAGGCACTTAAAATCAGTTACTGGATGGCTGAAAATAACAAGTGTTGAAAGGATATGGAAACATTGGACATCTGTGTATTGCTGGTGGGAATGGTGCAAGAACTATATATAACAGTATGACAGTTTCTCAAAAAGTTAAAGATAAGACCTACCAATTCCACTACCATGTATACAATCCAAAGAAGTCAAAGCAAGGACTTCAGTGAGCATTTGTATGCCTGTGTTTATAGTGGCATTATTCACAACAGCCAAAATGTGAAAGCAAACCAAGTGTTTATCAGTGATAATTTGAATAAACTAAATGTAGTATATACATTGCAAAAGTATACAATGGAGTATAATTTAACTTTAAAAAATGAAAAATTTTGAAGCATGCTAAAACATGGATGGACCTAGAAGACATCATGTTAAGTGAACTGTACTAGTTAAAAGAGTAACAAATATTCTATAAGTCCCCTTAAATAAACCTTAGAATAGTCAAATTCAGAGAGATTCAAAGTAGAATAGTGGTTTCTAGGGGTTGAAGGAAAGGGAAATGGGGCCTTAGTGCTACTGTATACAGAGTTTCAGTTTGGGAAGACAAAAACATTCTGGAGATGAGTGATGGTAATGGTCGCACAAAAGGTGAATGCCATAAAACTCTACACTTAAAAAGGATTCAAAAAGTAAATTTTGTGGGCTGGGGAGACAGCTCAGTAGAATAAGTGCTTGTCTGGCAAGTGCAGGGTCCTGAGTTTAATCCCCTGTACTGCAAAAAAAAAAAAAAAGAAAGAAAAAAAGAAAAAAGAAAAAAGAAAAAAAAGTAAATTTTGTGTTACGTATATTTTCTTACAATAGAAAAGAAACATAGAGCTAAGTCTTAATGGCTTGTACATGGCAATAGTTTCTTAGGTATGAAAAAAAAAATTATATTTCTTCAAAATCAAAAATTTTAAGGATATAATAAAAAACCCACAAAAAGTAAAATATTTATAAAATATATAAATATGTTAGATAAAGGTCTAGTTAATATCTATTTTTTTCTAGTTAATGTCTAGAATATTGACAACTCTTAAAATTCAACAAAAGAAAAAAATCCTTTAAAATTAGACAAAAGACTCGAATGAACATTTATCCAAATAAAATATGTAGGTGGCCAATGAGTACATGAAAAAATAATCAATATCATCCATCCTTAGGGAAAGGAAATCCAAAACTACACAACTTCACAAACAATAGGATGACCATTTTAAAGAGAAAGAAAAACTAACAAATTCTGATAAAGATGCAGTGAAATTAGAAGTATCAGTCATTGCTGGTGGGAATGTAACATGTTGCCTCATACAGAAGATAGTTCGAAGTGCCTCCAAAAGTTCGAAGTGCCTCCAAAAGATAAGTATCTGCTCTTAGTAAATTACCAAATAAAGAAGACTGAGAACAGTTGCTAAAACAAAAACATGAATGCTTACAGAAACATTCATAATTACCAACAGGTGGAAACAATACAACTGTCCATTAGCTGATCACAAAAAAAATGGGCACTATCCATGCAAGTTAGACACAAAAAGGAATGAGGTACTGCAACATGCTACAACATAGATACATTTTGAAAACATCCTAAGAAGCCAGCCAAGAAAGATCACACTTTTTATGACTCCAGTTAAGAAATACCCAGGTTAGGCAAATCCAAATCCTTTAAAAAGCAAAGTAGATTAGTAGTTGCCAAAGTCTGGGGCTAGGAGAAAATAGGACAGGATTATTTAATGGGTGGAGTTCCTTTTGGTGTAATGACAGCATCAGGGAACTACGTACTTAGTAGTAATGATGTTACAACACTGAAAGCCACTAAATGCCACTGAATTATACGCTTTCAAGCAACTAATCCCATCATTTTGTTGTGTGAATGAGTTTTTTTTTCTTTCTTTCTTTTTTTTTTAAAGTTCCTTCTTTATCACTCTTACCTGACAATTAATATCAGCTTTATGTTGTAGCAAAACTGTGACTAGTTCCTTATGTCCTCGATCACATGCCCAATGGAGTAGAGCTCTGCCCTAAAAACAGAAAAAAAAAAAAAAAATTGTTAATTTGCTATTGCAGTTATGGGGTCATATAAAAAATATATTTTAAGACAAAGAAAATTTGGAGTTCATTATTCTAGGAACAATTAATTTAAAAAGAACAATATAAGAAGAGCAATTGACAATCAACTGGAAGCCCTATGTCCTACTTCTGGACCTATTATGATGTCTTTAAACTGTGCATGGGATGGAGATAAGATAATGGTACTAACCACAGCAATATTATAATAATTGCAGAATGAATGAACTGTAAGAAAATGCTTTACAAATGTTAAAGTCTTTATAAATATTATACATAGTTTTCTTAAATTATTATGTTCACTTCTTCAGGTCAAAGAAATCTTAGGGGCAAAAAAATACTTAAACCTACATAGAAATCATAATTTACATGAACTATGCCTAAATTAACTTTATTCTTTAAAAATTAAACTATTGGAGCTGGGGAGATGGCTCAGTAGAATAAGCACTTCCCTGGCAAGTGCAAGGGCCTGAGTTCAATCCCCAGTTCCGCAAAAAATAAATAAAAAAAAATAAACTATCTAACCCATATTCCTTAATGTTACAACTTTACCCTCTATTTGAAAACAGTCTACTAGGTCTATCATCAAATAGTTGAGTATGAAAGGCAATTGTAAAACAGAAGAGATAGCTATTAGGAAGCAAAGAACTAAGTAAAATACAGTATACTAATTTTAACCCCTATTAGTAAAGTCTCATAGTTACTATTAATTATGTGTCATTTCTATTTCTATGGTTAGAAAATCTTGGTCTACCTAGTAAAAGAAGCCTACTTTCCCCTCCCCCAAATAAATATACCCTCCAAAAGTCAGAGCTTTTCTGAAGAAAAAAATGATGTACAGCTTAATACTACTTTTTGAGGGTAGTAATAATGTTGTTATAAAGAATATAATTATTTTTATACATTATATTGAAGTCTCTGCTTTATTTCAGTTTAGAAAATATTTAAATAAGTATAAGCTGGGAAAAGAATGGCTTTAGAGTAAAGTGTGCCTTTCCAGAAAGCCCTTCTAAACTTGCCTATAGTTTTTACATCCTTCAGACTCTTCCCGGACCTATACATTCAATGAATTAAACAGGGACCCATTCTTGAAACTGGAAATCAGGATGGGATAACTTTCTTACAAATTGTCCCTTTAAACAACTTTCATTTCCTTGGTTTGCTTCTTTTTTTTTTTTTTTTTTGCAGAACCAGGGTTTGAACTCACGCCCCTGCACTTGCTGGGCAAGCACTTATTCTACTGAGCCATCTCCCCGGCCCCTTGGTTTGCTTTTATCTACCTGTAAATATCTGTTTTCCAGTAGGCTCACACAAGGTTAAATAAGTGATAGAAACCAAAAATTTGTAAATGTGGATAAATCTGCACCATTTGTTATAGTTGCAAAATGGTTTATCATATTGTGTTTGGAGCCTGCTTTTTTTTTTTTTCAAGGAAACATTTCTAAAAAGCCCAGTTTAAAAAAAAAAAAAAAAAATTGAGTACTACAGTAGCATTTGCTATGTTAAAAATTTTTTGAACTCTAATGCATACTGACGTTGCTATGATGGTACTAATTCAAAAATCTTTTACAAGAATGGATACTTGAATGGAATCTTTTAACAAATACCAATGTATACAATATTCTATAGTTCAATATAATTGTTTTACAGCTTTTACATTAAAATAATCAGATAAAATTTCAAAGTATCATTTTAAGTGAAGTGTACATTTTAATACATTTCAAGGTTACAAAGTTGTTATTAATAAGAATTACTACACAGTTAAAAATGATGTGTGATATATGGACAAATACCTATTAGTTAAGTAGGAAATATAATATTGTATCTAGTACTTTTACTCAAGACTACAGATAATTTCTACTTCTCAACCAGGTTCCTGATTTTTCCTTATGTTTGACCCAAAGGGGTTACTTCAACTAAAGCTAAAACATAAATCCTTAGCTGTTTCAATGAGAAAGCAGACAAGCAACACATTTTACTGTTAATGGGAATTATATTTTAAGTTTGCCATGTGTGGTGCCAAAAACTTACTTTAAGGGAAACACCTATGACTGGACCTCAGTAGTGATTTTTACTTTGGGTATATTTTCCAGAAGGATGGCATACATATAGCAATTTTTAAAAAAGGATGACGTGCTCTCAGACACTTGCACGAAGCTTTTTAACACGTTTTTTGACCTGCAATGTAATTAATTTTTGTAACACATTATTTTAATGGTACACTAATTAACCTTGAATTAGAATAAATTTTGACAATGACTTTTTGTACAAGTGCTAAAGATGTCAACATTAAGACCACCTAATGATTAATATTTTATGCAGCATTAAAAGTTCAAAAGAAGAGTAAGGTAAAATGTACTTGTAAATAAACACAGATAAAATAAATGAAGCCTTAGAATTTTTACATATGCGATACTCTATAATTAAATTAACAAAGACAAACAGAAGGAAGTGTCTGTACCTTTTACTCCTTCAAACTATAAAGTTTCTGTAAACATGCTTGTAGGATTATTAAAGTGATATTACCAGTAATTCACAGAGATACTATCCCCACAATTAATTATGAGAAAAATCAGGTAAGAAATATCTGTAGTTTTTCCTCTCTGTTAACCAAAACATACTTAGACCAATACAATGCAATTATTAAATTATTTTAGGTGTAAGATTCCATAAACTTTTCCAGAAAGAAAGGCTTGAATTTGATATATATTAAAACTGTATCTACTTCAATAATTTCCCTAAATTTAAAAGCTGTTTACCTAGTTCTATATGTATTGTTTTCTTTTTTGTAGTGTATAATCTCTTACACATCTTCAAATTAAAATATATATTTTACTGCAACCAAAACCACATAAAAATTCTGTGTTTTTAGTTTTTAAAACCCTTCTGGAAAAATATCCCAGGTATATTTAGGAGATGAAGAGGGTATTAATAAAATGAAGCTATTAGGCCACTAGACGGTTACAGGCACTATATGCAGAGCTCTGGATAAATTCTGGACTTTAAATATAGTAAAATGGGGGAAGGATTCTCATTTATTAAACAATGGCGTTAATACTGTCCTACCTTAGACAGATGAATGACTCTAAAGTGCTTCAAAAGTGCAGAGTAGCAACTAACCTATTAAGTGGTATTACTTTCATGCCTTTGAGGAAATACAAAGAGCGGGTCTTAATATTTTAAATGCTTCTTTAATATCCCCAATTATTTGTTCTTAAACAATGTAAGATTCTTAAAATTAGATTTTTTCTGGATATCACAAAATTTAATGAAAGGGATTTTATTATAAAATGATTTTTTATGTCCTTATGGCTTTTTAAAATGAGACACTATATACAAAGGATGTTCAAAATATATAGTCAATATTTAAATTTAAATATTTAAAATTATAGTAAAAGACACATTACCATTAACTCCTCTCAAAATATTCCCCTTGCTGTGAACGTACTTATTCCATTATTCTTACTAACTCTGGAAGCAACACAGGGAGTCTGCTTTTGTTACTGTCTTTATCAGGCATGATTAAAAAAAAACATGGTAAGGGCTGCTGTTGCATACCATCCAACAGAAAGGCAGGCTTGGAAAAATCTTACAGTGTGTTCTTATTCACCTAATTCACCAGTTCTGGCATTATAAAACTTCTGGCTCTTTCCCAAAGTCAAAACAATCATGAAAGGTAAATGTTTTCAATCAGTTTAGGATATTGAGGCAAACACAAAAGCATAACTAAAAATACAAAAGAGGACTTTCAGAACTGCTTCAAAGTGGCAAGAACCATGGAATAAGTGCGTTCAAAGTAAGAGAAAGTATTTTGAGTGTGATTAATGGTAATGTCTTTTACTATAATTGATTTAAACATTAACTAAAATTTTTCATACTACATATATATGTAGCAAATTGGTATATTTAATTTTAAATTTAAATACTTAAATTTTTAAGAGTTGTCACTTTGTCATTTTATCAAAGACATTCAGTACTACTTAATAAGCAACTAAAATATTGAAAATGAATCACCTTGTACTTTTCTCAGGAAAAATTTTGGGCTTCCCTTTATAATTATAATAAGCACTGATTTCAGCTACCAATGACCTATAATGTCTCCATCTCCTCTATCCTATTCCTATATTCTATTCTTTGATGCTGTTAGGAGGGAACAGGAGATAGACTGGTAGACAGTCTAAGATTTCAAGATCTACCTAACATAGGCTCCAATGGCTCTCTATAGGATAATTTTATTTATCAAAATTAAAAAATAAAACCAGGGACAGCATGTTACTCAGTAGTGGAGTACTTGCCTAAATATACCTGAGGCTCTAGGATCAACCTTTAGCATAGAAAAACCAATCAATCAGCAAACTTATTCATTTAATAATAAAGTCAGCATGTATTTGATCTCTTTCAATGACAATCGAGAAAGAAGAAATGACATTGTTCAGCTGTCAGAGAATGTGAAGGCTTTTAAACACACTACTTTTTTTTTTATTATTTTTAATTTTATTTATTTATATATGTGTGTGTGTGTGTGTGTGTGCGCGCGCGCGCGCGCGGCCAGCTCAGCCCACCAGGGGGCGGGGCTGGCTGGCATGCGGTGCCGGGGGATTGAACCGCGGTCCCTGTGGTTTGCTAAGCTTGTTCTAAATAGGTGCTCTAGACCACCGAGCCATCTCACCAGCCCCTAAACACACTACTTTAAAAACTTAATGAGTATTTACTAAGCCATGTCAGTGATTTAAAGGAAGAAGTTAAGAAGGCACTATTTCATTCTATGTGAAATGAATAAGAAAAGCAGTAACACTAGAAATTTGCTATAAAAAGCCCAGATAGCCATCATAAAACAATGGACAAATAAGTTGTGGTTTGTTCACAAAATAGAACATTACTCAGCAACATATTGGAAGAAAGTACTTATCTACAACAATATGGATGAATCCCAAAACCATGATGCTGAATGAAA